GTGCAACAGTAGCTCAGTGGGTTCTGTTCGCTCTAGGGACTCGCAGAGCATCATATCTTCCTTCTAGGGTTTTCGTGAAGAACTCTGACCATCGCGTCAGTGGTTTCATGCCGTGAGATTGACACTCCCAAGAACCCAGTTGTTAACGGTTCGTGTCCACTGGTTGTCGTCCAGATGCAATAATTGTCCGTCACATCCTTTTTTCGATAATTTGAAACATAGAACGGTATCTTCAATTATTTGATCGACGACGAAGTTTTGGCCTTTAGATCCTCCTTCTCCTTCTCATTTGCGTGATACCACTAGCATCGACTTTTCGACTGTCCGTTCTATAACGCTGCGTTATCTCTCTTCTTATTTGCGTAGCAACTAGATTTCTGACGTACATGTTAAGGCAGGTAGAACAGTGAAGATGCTCTTAAAAGCTCCCCAAGTTGCTCGTTTCAACTTCCTCGACTTTGCACAGCAAAGTCGTTCATCATGTTGACTTCCCGACCTAGGTTACGAAATTCAAGCAGATTAGGCGTTGTCGATATATTGGAGGTCACCATTCTTGGCCAAAAGCACGGTCTTGCTTGTCTTCCACTGAGTAGGGTGTGAACAGCCGAGCCAATGTGTTTATTAGGAAGGTTTTTCAGGTGTTCAAATCTTATCCTGTCCGGACCTGGCATTGTTCAACTCTTCACTTTACGAAATAGTATGTCAGATTTCGGAAGGGAAAGCCAGTGGTACGACATATCCCATCCTCCCTTATGTCATATAAGGCCAAACAAAGACGTGGCTATTGAAGAGGTCTGAGTAGTAATCGTGGATAATTGTTTCCATTTTTTTTCTGGAAACAGTGACTGCTCCACTTGGGCGTTCGAATACAATTATTTTAGTCCTGCCATTGATGAAGTTTCTTTGGGATTTGCGAATGCTCTTCTAAACCTCTTCAGCTTCGCCCATAACTGCTCTGGACGTGAGTTGACGGCATGGCTCCACGTTGAAGTACCGTCCCGACTGCTGGAGACAGATGTCGTTTAGCGACTTTTCAACTTTGCTTTTTTAGCGCTATCGTAAAGATGTTGATTGAGCGGATCGTATTCACCGTCGATATTATCAATAACGGCATCTTTCCAAGAGCAACACTAATGATCTGAATAAATCCCAGTTTATGGCAGTTTTGGTCGGAATCTTGTGCGAAGGAGGTAGTGCTGATCCCGTGTAGAACCTTGGTACAACAGCGACGTCGGCTAGGCAAAACCTTTGATTCACTACGATGTTGCCTATATCGCTAGGGTATTCTCTATTGGGAGATTCCCATGTCCAGCGTTGAGAGTAGAGCTTCTGCAATTACAAGTAGGCATGAATGATGTTGATCGTCATAGCAAATTCAGGCAGCCGCTTACCCTGATCGCTCCATTCTAATCCGTGGTATCCTATGCGAACCTTCTAGATCTAGTCTTAGCGTTGAAATCTCCAGTGATTACCTTAAAGAATGTATACCTTCGATTCCGTCTTCGTCATAGCTTGTTGTAGGTGAGTGGAAGACGAAGATTGTCAAAGCCGTTATTTATCTCAGCCTCTTCAACCATGAACGTCCGATTTGGATTGTTAGTTCGAAAGAATCAATGTTCGTGACCAAACTCGTGTTGACGACTCAACTGTCGCATGTTCCGAGGAATACTTCTTCTTCGGTGTCATAGACGGCGTTGAATGGGTGGCGCCGTCTCGTCCTGGCCAGGCCGATGACGTCGTACCTTATCCTTCTTCCCTGCGTGATAAAGTAATCTATGGAGGTCTCAGATGCAAGTAAGCATGCTTTTTAGGTACTGATCGCCATCTTTTCCCTTCGGGATTAAGGCAGTCTAGAATGCCTCTATAATTATAGCAGCCTCTCCGTACTCGCACTAACCAACGCCGCTTTACCGGACCCTCTTTCAGAGATAGGGGTACGAGGCCCGCTTATTTGACTGTGTTTATTGTTTGATACTCACGTATAGCTTTCTGAGCTCTAAACGCGGGCGCTAGGTATAGTCACGAGTAGCTTGCCGATTTTTCTCAGGGTGGAAGGGTGGACACGAACCTTATATGTAGGATACGACTCTTAAGAAACTTCCACATACTTCCCTATCATTTGATGGCAGGCTTTTCGCCGAAGTGATTCGTAGAATAAAATCCTCATAAACGAGAACACATTTAAGCACGCATGGATGACTACGCCATCATAAAAAGAGAAAGTATTTGCGCGCAGCAGGTGTTCGGACCCTTTTTAACCCGCTTTCCGCCAACTCAATACAGACACGTTACCTCACGGCTAACTGGGGGAAAATCCCTCTTTGAGAAGAACCATGTCTGAATAAGATAGCACAAAACAATTCTCATTAACGAGAAATCATGTTATCAGAACTGTATGAAGTCTTGGTGATGACACAAAACTGGTTTTAATGAGCAACAGAGTAGAAGGATAAAAATGATAAAGTACAAAGCTCTCGACGCTGATCAATCTCCGAAGGTGCCTCATGCAATCGACTTCATTAAGCATCGTCAGAGGCGACTGAATGCATATCTGGTCTATACAATGACCCGCGGCGGGCTACCGATGTACTAAGTCAGTGCTAATATCCTCCCAGACAGCAAGTCTGAGACCAATTAGCCGACTCCGTAGGGATGGAAAACTTGTGAGCCTGGGGCGCGGGGATCGGTCCCAGTGTATTGCAGGGCGCCTCCGACCACTGTGGTACACGCGTTCCTGAGCAGCTAAGTATTCCTTCAAAATTTTACACCAGCCTATACAACATTCGAAGTACCAGATAAACTTCTATTATCTAATGTTGCGAAGCACCCCATTCATAAGTATCTCGCCTTTTTTGGCAATGTATGGTGCAGCTCTATGAGACTATGCCAAGATAAGTGATGCGAAATCTATTCTCAGACGAAAGCACTTGGACATAGACGAAGAAAGTGTCAAAACCATCACTGCATAAAACCACTTTGGGTCCCACGTGCGTGGTTTCCTCCATTTGTGTAGCAACGGGAGATAAAATCAATGTCTACAGAATTTCATGAGTTTCACACCCGTATCTAAGGAACTGCACAAAGAATCCATTGCCTCTGCAAATTTTCCGGTTAGGTTCCTTTATTATTTAGTCTTGATATGTCTAAAAACGGTCCTTATAGTAGCGGAAAGATTCGCTGCTGTCACAATAGCTGTCGTCCTGGAACAATCGAAGTAGCGAGCCAGCAAACTCCCTTTCTATCCATAAAAGCGGGAACTGCCTGTGTTGATGACGTGAGAATGCTCCATCCCGGCTATCACAGGTTCTTAGGAAAAACTACGCTCAACAGTGCTAGTGATGCATCACGAGCGAGGTGCTGGTTCCAGCACGTGACCTGCTCCGCCTCCCATTACTCCGGTGTTGGAAAGTTGGTATCACACTTCCTTAGGACCAGCTCACTCGTTGCAATCCATGGAGAAACGACTTTGCATTCACTATACTATGAAAGAGGTGCAAAAAGGAATCGAACCTAGGAAATGCCGAGACCCACACAGTAGATGTAAGGATGGGTCATGTAAAATAGGTGAGTAAATAATAGTAACCATGTTTAAACGGAATGCGTTGTACGTTCCATGTAATGCATGTCTGTACATAAAACATGCCATCCGCAACATGATGTTGAAGTTAAACTACACATTCTTCGTAATGGTAGATAGAGCAGCCCATAAAACCTGATAAAAATCCTCTACAACATTTCACCTATTCGCCACAAAGCCTAACCTATCTCTGCGCAAACTTTGAGCCATATGTCACCGACTCGATCTCGACATCTCGACTAAAGCGTTCACAAAGCCCAAACCAGAACAGGGAAAAGAAGTGCCATCACAAGGGCAGGTCAGAGCGACACACATCAGACTTACACAACTCATCCCTCCATGGATCTGCTAACACATAAGGCCTGACGCCTTTTTTTTACGTGTATGCTACGTGGAACGACGTTTGACTTCACTCACACCTTTGCAGATGCACTAATTTTTGGATAATAAACAACTCCCCGATAACTGGAGCTCTTGAGATTTGGACCATGTTAGAATTGTAGAAGACTTCGCTGTACAGTTCTAAGGGCACACATATATAGCTACATCTCGAAGTCTTTTGCAGACTATTTTAAGTTTGTTTCTATATTTTCCATGTCCACCCATTCCCTACGTTACCCATGACTCATCAAATCGACTGAGATTGAAATAATTCCTTACCAGTCATATTACCGATTACTGGACTGCCAGGAGGAACTTCTCAAAACGTTAAGTATGTCGGAAAAACTCCCTGTAAATGCAGAAAATGCAACGCACTTCCCCATTATAACCCCCACCCGCTACACTCGCATGGCATAGAATTCATCTCCAGCGTTATGCGTTGAATCGACCAAGAGCCATTTAGACGGTGCCTAAGGTGCCCTCGACAGCCTTCTATCAAAGCAACAAGGACGAAGGCATCCTTTCAAAATGGACCTTGACAAAACTGAATACGAAGGACTAAATTTCAAAAATATGGTATGTAACAAAAAGAACAATAACTATGACAACAACATAGGTTTTTACCTACGCATTATTACATAAAAACCACTGAACATATAATGAAGCCAGTGCAGCAAAAAGTATTAGAAGGAAAAGATGCCGCCATCAAAGCTCACGAGAAAGGAGCCTTTTCCAAGTTTTCCGAAATTCCCAGTGAATCGAAACCCTTGAATAACAACGCTAGGCAATAAATCGGCTCCGAGTTTATTGATTTACACAAAGAAGTTGAAGTCAACTAGCACACAGACAGAAAACGTATTTAAAGCAAACACGACCTACAACAAAGCAATGGCACAGAGAACTGACCACAGTGGAATGCACAGAACACAGAATCCCATTTGACATTCAAAGAATGTAATCCACCGTGCGTGAAGGTCTCGTTCTAGATACGCGAACACTTTTAGGCGAAAACTACAAAACATGAGGAAAAACGCCTGAGATATCACACAGAAGAACCTTGTTCTTGAATACAGTGCAGCTTGGATTCTGAAACAGAAAGAATCGCTGGATATCATTTCATAAATACAAGGTAGAGTTACGACAACAACACTGAACGATTCTATTCATGATCTGTCTAGGAAAAACAAAGCGACTGCCAACGTACTCGATTTATGTATTCGATCTAGAAAGAAAAAATGGTACGTAGCTTCCAATATAATCATGCACCCACGTTTTAGCGCAGTGGAATGTCGACTGTGCAAAGAACCACAGAGAATTTTAGAGAAATGATCGTAAATATGTATATGTAAAGCACGTCTTCCTACGGTTATTTATCGAGTTATCGTGGCTGGGAGGTGTTCCTAGGTGTCGCGCTGCGATGCACAGCGGAGGGAATCATCCCCTGGCAGGGTTTCCGAAGCTGAGGAGTCCGGCTCTTCCATCAAGAAGCCTAGCTAAGAGTAAGCCAATACCAGGATCCACCACCGTCCTAGTATCAAACTGTTCGCATGGTGGCAAATCTCCTTCTGATCCACAAGGGCGGGACCTGGGAAAAACTTTGGCCTGTCTCACTTCGGGACTCCAGAGAAACAATGCCTAAACCAGCAAAACTACGAAAAGTGGAGATTATACTGGAGCCCGTAAAGCAGTAATGACCGGCTATCCAGGTGTGTAAGTAAGTAAAGCACATTTCCAGGGTTTACTTCTTGAAATTATATGCACGGTTAGGATTTGGTTAAGAACAAATGTTCAAAAATTATGAGCAGTACCTCTATAACACGGAGGCTTACGCTTCAACCACTTTAAAGTGCAAAAAGAAATACACGTCTCCAGTTTCAATAAAGAAACACTACAAAATCTAAAATGACAAACAAGAAACCGTTTTTGACACCCACCTAGTCCATACACGTACTGATCGAGGATATTTGCAGCTTCTTCTAGTCTTCTCGTACTCTCATCAATCTCGTCGATCTGTTCAAGGTATGGACGCAGCGATTCGTCTAAAGCACTATAAGTAGTGAAGACAACCTGAAGTCATAAAATAGTAAACGATAGCATAGAATGCGACATACACTTCTCATTGAGACGATTCAGTTTGTCTGCAATTTTTTCAGAGACTGATCGCATGTCAACGTATCGCTGAGCAGTTGCCATGTTCATATCTTCTAGAAGTTTGTATTCATCGATGCTACCTGAACCATATATTGCCGCTTCCTCTACGGTTGATCTAGACAGAAGGATGGAAGAGTAATACTATTCGACAATAACTCGGTTACATTACATCACAGGCTACAAACCTTGAATTTGAGAGTTTAAGAAAGTGCCAACACGATCATACATTGCATCGGCAAGTTGTTTTATGCCAGGCCCTGGAGTTGGCGTAGCCGGCTCAGGAGGAGAAGATGTGGAAGCACGTTCGTTTATCTCAGCCATTCCGACCTGCAGCAGAACTGTCAAACATCACACTGCAAACGCTATTCGTTGCAGCAATGACAAACAATTCTGTTAAAGACTACCAAAACGCGAAGAAAAATCATTAGAATAATAGGATGATGGGTATACCATGCCATACCTTGCATTATTCATATCAATTCCCTGGCTGTTAGGATTTACAACAAAACCACAGGTAGGAGTATACAACGACCCTACGATGGTCGGAACCTAACTACTTATCACTCATCCACACGCCTTCTAATGCATTTGTGACTAAGCCTAATTTTCACTGGTAGCGGTCGGAACGACGGTTACGTCTTCACCAACATCATTCTTTCTACAGGAAGCAATGCCCACAAAATTCTAACTCGCGTTCTTCATCTCATACACCATTTTTTGGGAGTTTCTTCAGAAAGATTAGTAACTCGTACCCTACGTATTTCCGATTTCTCATGTCCTTTCTCATTTTTTGAAATACTATACTAAGCAAACATTGAAGTGGCTACAGCATACAGCCAAACTCATCCAAATAGCAGCTTCTGGATCTGTAACATGCAAGTAAGAAGTCCCCTCGGGTCATGCCCGGCATGAAATCGATCAGTCAAACACTAAACGTATTAGGGAAAAGCTTGTGTGACAAAAGCTGCACATTAGAACCATTTCTAGTAAAGCTACTCCACATTAGCTAGAATTACACCGTTAAAATCAATGCTAAAATACAAGAAAAGAGACTATTCCGGCGCATTCGCAGAATTCACCACTCATCACTGCTAACTCTCACCTATTCGAAGCTTATGCAATGTCAAAATAAATCGTGGCTTTGAACCATTGGCAGATAAAACAACCAACAACTGAATCCGGATTTACTACTGTAACACAGACGATAATAATAATGGAAATTTTGACCAGCATCGAAGCGAAACCAATGAGCTTTTAAGAGCAACAAGGACAACCTATGGTCGATATAGAAAAAACTAATGAAAGGACAGGAATTTGAATAGATTAAATTCAGCATATATTTAGGGCGACCTGCTATAGGATGCCTATATACGAATCGCCTCTCCAGATGAAAAAACACATACTGTTTGAAACACCACTTAAAACACTCCAGCCCAGAAAGCTACTGAAAACATTAACAGATAATCTCACACCAAGGCAAAATATTATCGTTGGACATATCAATAAACGAATCTCCATCATTCACAAGTTTTACAGTATCCTACTATTGCTGTACTTTACGAACTCCATGAATGGATCCACGCAGTTGTCCATCACGTTTATACTTGGTCCACAACATCAGCTTTTTACCTAAAGGTAATGATTAGTAAGCAATTTATTGAAATATCTGCAGAGAGAGAGAGAGTTGTGAGTTATAGAAAGGACTGTTTGTAACCTATTAACGCTGCTTATCCATACAAGAATTAACTAAGAAATCAACGCAGTAACATTTCACAACTTAGGTGTCCCGACACCCCATAATACCTCTCCTTAAAAAATGTTTATGACAGCTAAACACGCAATGTAATCTTTTCTGTTGAGTATACCATGTGCTTTGGATATACCACTACATTTGGGTATTCTCCAATTTTTTCTTCAATTGGTAAGCCATAAAAAGTTATGCTATCACATTTAACATGTCCTATACGGGAGGAAGTGACAGAATAATTCTCCGCTGGAAGACGGATATCGAAAATTCTGGTAACATGAGGGGTAAACGAAAACTTTACGTGTATTTGGCACAGGTGTAAACTGATACCTGTTCGGAATCATTAAGTCTGAATGGCATTCGGTACCATGTACCGAGACAGCTAGACGGCTTGCCAGCTATCGTTTCATAAGGTTAGTAAATGTATCCATTAGTTAGTAATAGCGCTTCAGTGTAATACCCTAACTGCATATTATCTAGAGAACATAGACTGAATACCTGATCGGTCCACTACCGGTCGTTTCGCAAGCTCACGATTATTAAGCGAAATCGCATACTCTCGCATGGCTTTTTGGTCTGGAGGATGAATGTTCAAATCTAGAAGTGAGCGGCTTCTTAACATTTCGTTACAGTATTCAGTCCTATCGTCGACACATCTCTGTACTCGTGACGCTCTATCCGCCATTGAAAAACTTATACGATTAGTATTTCCATCAGTAAGCGAAGTTAGTTGCGACGCCTGTAGTTGCATTGGCCCCTTTACACACATGTCCAGCAGCGACGGAATCTTCTCGACGACGCCGACGGCTGAACGAATCAAACATTGTTTGCAGAGACAGAGCTGTTCACCTGTGTGATGAACTGCAAATGAAAAGCAAAAGTCCAAGAGAAAATATAACCGCATAACGAATACGTAATGACGATGAAAATCGACAATCGCACCAACCAGTTCCATTTTTCTTTTCTAGACAAAGACGAGTTGCTGATCTAGGTGAAGCGGATGTCTCTTCTATTGCTAGACCGTGATCTTCACAAGTGCCGCTCATCTGGCAGTCCTTTTTGGGTGATTCGGTGGGTGAAGCAACCTCCCCATTCTTTGTAAGCGGTAACTCCTTGCGATTTGTAGATATTTTAATTCTCCTAGTTCGATCATATCTGCTGCCTTCGGCATCAGTCGTAAACCTACGCTTTACCGAATAGTCTTCTGTGACTTCGTAATCGTTTTCAGGATACGCCTTGGCACTGCTTCCTGGCTCTGTTGAGACCTCTTCTTCGTTGTCGACAGAACACCATCCATAGGAAAACGGTCCCTTCGCGGAAATGATTTCAGCATCGTATCGCGCTTTTTCTGGTAAACCGGTCTGCCCAGAAGTCGACGGCCGAACATCTCGTAACCACATCAGTTTTTCAGGCAAGCGATCTCTTTCTCTTGATTCATGTCTTCTTTCACTATGAGTCGATCTCCTGAGTTCGTTTCGGGTTTCATGGTGGTGATGGCGACGCCGTGCTTCTAAAGAGGAAAATCATCTGTTTTATACACATCAAAAAACGCTCCTTGATCGTAATTCGTCTGTAGCTGTGGGATGAGCGTTGAAATCTACCGTCTTTTCGGCCACTATTGTTGATGCTACGATTAGTTCGCGAAGTAGTAGTCCCCATTTCTTGAGCGTCACGATCGTTACGAATTGTCGTCTCGGAGGTTGCCATAACACTTCTTGTAGGTAAACTAGTATCAGGCCGGACGCATTCACCAGTATTGAAGACGACAACATTTGTGGCAGCTGCAGCCCGCCGCATTGCGTCAACGTCTATGTCCTCACATAGGTCCGGAAAGTCATCGTCAACGTTAGACATATCATAAACTCTCGAGCACAGATTGTCATCGTTGTGATCATCGTCATCTCTAAAATTAATCAGCTCAGCCGCAAATCATTACGCTAGAAATCGTCTTAATCCATATGCAAGGGACCAAATTGTAGATTACCATTAAAAAGGACTTGATTTCCGCCTAATTCCCATCATACACTAGAAAATTGGGACTAAACCATTTGAGAAACAATTCATTGAGAACGACTAACCCAGAGGAACATTTGCCTGTGTCTGAGGACCCGTCGATTAATTTGGAGTCATCATCACCTATATCGTCACCTGTAAAGTATGCATTTATAGAACAGCATTATTTGTTAAAATCACCTAAGAACATACGCATAAAAAATTAGCCAAACTTCCGTATGCTTAGAAGAAAGCTTAGCTTAGAGCTTAGAAGAAATAACTCACAACAGTCGACCTCCTCCAATTCTAATTCTTCCAGTGGAATATCCTTGTCATCCCGATCTCGCCTATTTCGACTACTCCTAACACGTGACGGACTCTTTACACGATCACGAACTGCACTCTGTAAACACTACGCAATAAGTTTCGTAGGGAGAAAAAATAAAACAGTTGCTTTCTGTAAAAAAAAAATGACAGCAACAGAGAAAAAAAATTGAACGGCTTTTCAGAGGACGTTAAAATGTTTCGCCATAGCAGATTAAACAATGAGTTTTTCATCTACCAGCTCATTTCACAACGATGAAAACGCTTCATGAAAACTATGAATGTTCACAAAATGACACAACTTCGGGAGTTTAAAATTTGTCGGAGTACTGAGACATCAGCATGTCTGCACGATAATTTATATAATAATACCTTTAAAAAAGTGAGAAGGGCGTTGAAGGTTGATGCGGAAATTGACTATGATTTTCCTTTTTACTAAAATTCATTTGAAATATATTTGGTCCAAAATGCAGTTATGCCGTTTTGTTCGGTAATCTCCTCCAATGCATCATTTCTCCAATGACCACATAATCCTTCGTTTCCAGGTATTCTAGGCAAAGAACTGATCGATCAACTACGTGTGTGCTGCAAGACTCTAGCCACCGTGCTACATGTCCCCACAGCATTCAGCCACTTCTAAGATATTTACCACTCAAAAAGTACAAAGTACGCTTGAAATTGAGATATTAAACTTTCGACATGACTCCACTAAGTCGCAAAAACCGGACGGACTTCTGCACGAACCCTAGTATCCTCAACACCTGTACACAAGTGAGAAGCTTAGTGAAATTAGATTACTCAGTTGATAAAATAACAGCATTCACTTCCATACTATATATAAAATACTGCTATATATAAAATAAAATATATAAAATAAAATATACGAAATAAGATATATAAAATATAAATATTAAGAGATCAATGATTAGATTAATTCGTTCGATTATGTCACAAATATTATTTCTACAGTTCAAACACCTACTTAAACAACACCTTATCGAAACATAAGCTAAATAAATTGGACCGAAAGCGAAGAAAAAGAATTGACTGGACAACATTAAAAAGAGGAAACGTGAAGATACGAGGGTGAAGCGTTTTCGGTGGAATCGGTTCTGTTTGATTAGGTAGGCTCAAAAAATGGCTGCTATTGTCGTTGTAAAACTTAAAGACGAAATTCGTCAAACATATCTTGTTGTTTCTATTGTTAGTTTTCCAATATGACCCGTCTTCCCGTAAGCCTAACTTTTTGGTGTGGCTTCGACTACTGCTTGAGGATTTTGATTTCATCTTGAATGTCGTAGGATGCTAGTCGAGTCGATTCGCCCTGGAGTCATTATACAGCCGGGTTGGAGTGTTCTCAATGTATTCCAGGGAGTGGTTTCTTTCTGGACAAATCCGGTACCAATTTATCGACCCAGGAGAGATGATAACCTTGGTTGGTCCGGTGCAGGATCAAAACCGATATCACTACCACTGCCCTACCCGCCCTATTCTATTCACACTCACCACTTTTAAATATAATTCTTCCTTGACTAATTCCCAAGTAATCCTTTTGCAGCACTCAACTTGCACTGACTTTATTCTAGTCGGAATGATTCTTCCACAGAATGAAGGTTGTGCTTCATTTTGTTTGCTGATTTCATATGTGGACATAAAATAACGCCCAATCCGAAATATCACGAAAGCATTGCCCAGTGAAGAGCTTCTAGAGGCACAACCTATAAATGATTCGTAAGGTCTCGTACTGAAGATATTAGCCTTCATGACGAAAAAAGCTGCTGTCGCCTATCGGTAAAATCCATTCTGCTTTCACGACACTCTACCATACGATGCACAATAACGCTGCAAAAGCTGCACGAATTGCGCTATGAAACCATTCGTCGCCCACCAAACTCTTTAGACCTATCACTAACCAAATGTCTTCCTTAAATGCTTCCGACAACTAACAGTTCAAGCATTAAATACTGGGACGCGTATAGCGCAGTAGTTAGAGACGTCCGCAATACACATGGGCGCGATCCTGCGCCCCAGGTTCACCAGACCTGTCTGAGAAGATAGCAGCACTAACTCGATACAGCTCAGGCCACCGCGAGTCATTGTAAAGACATGATAAGCATTCAATCACCTAGAACAATGCTTAATGAAATTGAATGCATGGTGTCCTGATCAATTAAGTGCATCCGAGTTGAGTTATAGCATTTCGAAGCCCTGTTCAAAACTGGTCACTGTTTTTAAACCACTCTAACATTCCCATCGAATACCTCGAGAAACGAATACATATAATTTTTAAACTCGTGAAGTAGAGAACGACTGACGAACCTCAGCTTCATATGAGGACCGACGCTTTGAATATATGTGGGAACCGTCATCCAGGCGATTGTATCTTCTACGTACGTCTCCAAAAGTCCTGGATTCGTACCGAGTTCCACGATCTCTGCGTGAATAAGGGTGATATCGATGCTGAAAACATTTCATTATAACTATATGCTACCATATCATATCAACAGAGTTTTCGATCAAACTATAGTTAGAAATTTTATCTCCAAGAAAGGTGCGCAGATTGAGAAAACTAAAAAATTACCCTATCACGAACAGAGTGCCGACTTCTTCTATCATATCTGTATTTTTCACCACGTTCTCGATCACGCATATCTTTTCGATCTCGCCTCTCTTCTTCCGCGTCTTCATCAACACATTCAAGTTCATCAGGATCGAAATCGACATCGTCACTCTCTGCATCGAGGGCGCTCTAAAAACAAGCACTAGTTGCGTTTCAGTTGTAACGAAAGCCATTAAACTAATGAAACATTGGCTTCGAAAACAATCATATAAACTCCCCTAACTTTGATAGGAAATCGATCGAAATTTAAAGCCTAGTAGACCTTGAATTACACGATCTATTGACGTTTACCTACAATTTACTCCAAAGGAAACAAGAGTTGCAAAACTTGAGGTTTATTTCAATGTGACCTAACACCTTTTATTTACTAGGAAGTAGAAAATCTTTCTCAGAAAAGTTAGCTGACCAAGTGTTGAAGACATTACAGAATTATGGAAGAAAAAATAAGCATTACATTCGATACATCCATTACTACAACCTTCGTATTTCCATGTGTGCATTCGTTTCCGCCATCTTCCTAAAATTGAGTGAATAGTATAGCTGCACATTTGAAAACCAGATCCCGCAACCTTAAAACGCGAAAAAAGAGAGAGTACATCACCTAAGTGTAACACTATCTCTACGATTTCCGCGCTTCCTTCTTCTTTTTTTTTCATTGCACTACAAATCTATCCATCGTTAACTTGGTGTTAAGAACTACTCAACACATTGACGATCATGTTTTCTGCTCCAAGCAAGGACTGTGCCTAATTTTTTGCAGCAAAAGAGGTGAATCCAAATGTGGTTCGTTTGATCACTCATCATTCACGAGAAAAAAAGAAATGCATGTCCCTCAATAACAAATAACTTTAGGTTGCTCACGGTCATCACTAAGCAAAGCGCTATCGCCGTCCTTAGTGCAAAGTTTAGCTCATAGAACTAAAAATATACGCTGGAGCTCTATGCAATTACTAAACCGCTTCAGAAAATGACTCCAAATATTATGTGAATTTTAGTATAATCACATAAAAATGCTGCTAGGTCTACAGTACTACTTGATTAACTTCGACCAACAAAATTTAGATACATTAGAGCCGTTCTGCGTTATAAACACAACGCATTTAGTACGAGTTCTTTTTTAAGTTAATCCTTTCAAGACCACGCGCACTGATTTCGATATACATGCTGCACAATTCGGGCCGCAGATCTTGAGTTCAATGCGCATCTCAGTAGCACACTAATGACACTCAATCCGGTGCGTCTACCATCCAAAAACGGCTGCGGTCGTAAAACGGTTAAGGTTTGTAAAAAGACCATTTTACCAGTCGTGGATAAACAGATGTATAATGCAGAATTTGTGAGTATTAATGACGTGGTAATAGGGTGCGTGTAGCGCAGCGAACGGAGAAGCCCTGCAGTACACATGGGATCCATCCTCGCGTCCCAGGGCCACCAAGCCGTCCATCCATCCGGGGTCAGTAAATTGGTATCAGACTTGCATGGGAGGATCGCAGCACTGTTTCGATATATCGTCAGGTCACCGACAGTCATTGTAAAGACCAGATTTGCGCTCAATCGCCTCAAACAATGCTTAATGAAGTCGGATGCATGGCCCATCCCTTTTGGTTAGATCGACGTCGAGAGCTTTATTCATTATCGTTTTAATGACGTGGTGTCAGATACTGATATTAGTTTCAAGATATTGAAATACTAATGAGGTTTTAAACAAACCTCTATGGGATCAACGCTCCAATCGGTTTCTTCCACCTCGCGTATTATATCCTCATGAATACTTCTCTATAAGCATATAACGATGACTAGACCCAGGAATAAATGTAGAACTCTGCATATTTAGAAATCTACTAACCTTTGCGACCGAAGATTCTACGTCTCTGTGAGGCATCACCGCGACCTTCTTGATTCCTAGTGTGTAAGGTGAAGCGTGATCACAGTAGCTGAATGGAGACAGTTTCACTGAGCTAATGCAAAGCAACCATATAAGGATATCTAGGTGAAATTTAGATATTCACGAATGATGACGAACTCGTAGTCGAAAAATGTCGTACAACTGTAGCGATATGTTTATCGCAATATTGGGAACAATACGAAATAACAATGAGGTCATGACATGGTAAAATGGTGTAGAAGTTATAAACGACTACATGAATAGATTTATATAACAAAGTAAAAAAAGAACAGGAACAGAAACGGTGAAGCGAGAAGAGTAGTTGTTATCCTTGGATCCAGATCGCAGCCAGTGGTGCAGCTTTCACGTTCTCCAGATCGATACGCTTGTCAAGCTCTTCGTCCAGTTCGCCGATCACCGCACTGAAAAACACAACGAATACAACATTGATAAAACATCGATTGGCTAACAGCCATGAAAATACTTTCGAATAGCGCAAAAAAAGAGCAGTGGGTTGAGACCACTTTTATTTCTTAAAAAAAATTAAGAAATACCAATTTCTCAGGTAATACTCCGACCAAAAATGTACGCCCTATAATCAACGGCTCCACCTATGGCAAAAATAAGACGATGGGAACAGTGACTTGAAGTTAATGCAAACTATAGCAAACTTCTAAGCTAAGTGATGTCTTATTAAATAACTAAGTTATTTATTCTTCCTCTTAATGTCGAGATAGTCGTGGGTGAGTATTTTCTGGTAATTACTCTGTCAAGCTTCGGTTCCCTTGGCGAAGCAAGATAGTTTTCCAAAGTAGTTTCTACCAGAACGACTACAGACAGTACCTTATTGTACTAGCTGAAGCTCGAGATAAAAGTATGGCGCTCTCTCTCTTATCTTGATAAATTCCGTCATGGATGAAGCCTACTCAACAACAGTGCTATGCCAATGAGTAGTTTCTTGCCACGGTCACACAAGATAAACCATTCAAGTGCGCTTCGAAATGTTTTTAAGATGTCAACTTTATGCCACATATTTACGCTTGGTTTAGCTAACCACTCCTGATCTGTTTATGTCCAAATTGCAAAAGCACTGACATACAACATGACACTGACATACAACTGACATACAACGCAAACTACCGCTTTGGATAACCAAACAGATATACAAGCACGTCAACCTCCCTTATGCTTCTCACAATGCTCAACACACATTACAAACCACCACTTAAAAAAGTTATTTTCAAATGCCAATGTCTTACTTAATACATCACGATGAGCCACTTTCGAGCCAACATCAGCTACGCGCTATACCTGAAGTGGGAAAAGACATGTGAAAGATGAACGACTTTCTGTGTTGCAGTAATGCTCCGATCTCCTTCTTTAGCTTGCACGACAAGTACTTAAACAAAGTTAAACACACCTCCAAAGAAATCCCGTAAGTAGTACGGCTGGAGAACTGTAGAAAACACAACTTCCCGTCTCTTACCTTCACCTTTCATGTCTAAAAAATTCATAGAGCAGCATAACGAGTAATGCCACTATGCAAACACTTGTTGGCCAAACTACACGGCTGTCTTATTCCTCTATCGCTTCGCAAAGAGACCACAACATCGTTCTCAGTAGTCGCACTTAAGGAACCACATTTTGCAAGTGCTAAGAATAACGCTGATTATTTTAATAAAAGAATGAGCAGACTCTTGAATAAGCGTATTAGGAGCCGTTTTCTAATCTCTTAAAGTGGCTGAATAGGTGGATACGGTAGCACTATCCCTGCATTTTCTGACAGAACAATTCATTAAGATCCGTGCTGCGGTTGCAAAAAGTGGTTCACTTCTTCAGCTCCACAAAAACCATTGCAAAATACTTCGCTGAACACCACACAAGATGACAAATCACAAAATGCGATACAGGGATAAGATGGCATGGGATAGCGCTCAAGTTTCCGGGTAAGTAGACTAGATGGACTGAAAACCGGCAATGAGGGATTTATGAAATATAAGAATAGAACCCTACTTGTTTTTTTTTCTTAACTATCGTGATATTAGAGGGTGGATAGTGAAGTGGAAGTGATGCCGATAATCCCTTTGCACGGTGCTGGTTCGATCCCGTTCCGCTCTCACCAAGCCTCTCATCCATCCCGAGTCGAGATATTGGCACCGAACTTGTCTGGAAAAAGTTCGGTCTCTTTAATGGAACAGGGAGGCGCTCTACACAGACTACTTCAGAACTCCAGGGAGAGTCGACTCGATCAGAATTTAACGATATTCATAATAAAAGAAAAGCCTTCAAGCAAAAAGCCCAAGCCATACGTAAAAACTATAAGAACTTTGTGGATGATGGATGCGAGGAAACTAAGCGAGTGCATGAAATCTTGGGATCCCCACGGTAGATATGAAAGACGGATCTGATGAAAAAAATGTTCTCTACAAAAAAAGACTGTGATACTAATCAGATAAGAAACCTACTAAAAGTAAAAGTGTGTACGAAGTCGCGAGAAGAGTATGGAACATATAGAAGAGGCCCTGGGGCTTGTATATTTCTGCGAAGATTGACAATCCAAGAAATATTATGTTATCTAAACTACACCCATAGCTAGAGAGGACACCAGGCAACGACAGTGGATAGTCTCTACATAAATGACCTAATAATAATGGACTACGGATAAATTGGCTATACTTCGGATGCGAAACGGAAAGGGATGATTAGGTCAATACCACTTATTGCCCGTCTGTCTACTTCAGTACGCTTTGATTAAAATTGTAAATTATGCATGGAAATATTTAGTTAAGGAGTGAGCGAAAAAGTAAATGAAAGAGAGAATCTGAACAAGACCCCTTTCAGTCGCCTAGGATTGGAACTCTTGAATTCATCGCTAACCGCGAAGACCTCAAGAAACCGGTTGGCCCGAGCCAAGAGCGCGTCGTACAACGCGTTATCGATCGACGCGAACCTCAGAAGCGACGTCGCTCCCTTCCACGCTGAAGTAGAATCGTCGAGAGTCTTCGTAACTGTGGTCGAGTTATTGAGTCCTTTTCTTCCGACTAATATGACACTGCTTTACACCATCAGGAAAAAAAACTGAAATAAGCTGAGGTGAATGGGAATCGATAACGTATAACCCATGAAGGTCCAAAATACGACTCTCAACCAACTGTCTATCACACAAATATGGGACTAGGATCAATCACAGTCAGAAACTCTGCACCGAAAACCAACTTTATGACCAGCGGAGGAATTTACAGGCACACACGCTTTTAAGTAAAGCATGAAGAAATCGGGCAACTTGCCATGTCGAATAAGTCGACTCCATTCAACGGTTTACTGCCTCGCCGGGTCTGGAAGGTGTTCCTGGGTGTAGCGCTACGACGTACATCAGGGGAATTCGTTCCCTGGCAAGGCCTCCCAAGCTGAGAAGCAGTTCACTGTTTCCATTAGGAAGCCCAGCTAAGAGGAAACCAATACTAGGATCCACCACCGTCCTGGTATCAAAGTCGCATGGTGTAAATCTCCCTCTGATCCACAAGGGCGGAGACTGCTTTTGATGGTGACGACCTGGGACAGAGTTTGGCTAGGCTAATCACAGGACTCCAGGGAACCACAATGGCTAAACCAGCGTAACTCCAAAAAAGTGAAATTTATGTTGGAGACCGCACATCCAGTGAAAACGGGTCATACAAGTATCCATATAGGTAAGAATAAGTCGACTAGGCACCTGTACTTATAAAGGAAAGATTACTGAGTAAAGCATCACTATCTCGATTCCGTAGTTAGCACTAGGTCCACTAGCTTCACTATTGTTATTTTTTCATAAATTAGATTTTTTCCCAAAGAAAATTAGTGCCATAACGTTATATTTGACCAATCGCTGCATTTTATTACCGTTCAAATACAAATGAAGAACATGTGAAGCATTTCTGACCGCTGTAAGATTGCTAAATTGTGGAAATGTGAATGACACTTTGGCGGGCTTTCTTATCTCGCAATGTCAACTGCGGGCAACCTCCCCAATTGTTCACCCCTCCATCGTGACGTTTTAGGGCATTTACAGCAAGATTCATTGCCGAAGCAGAATGCTGAGTTCGAAATTTTCCGGGACCGATTTTCTGTTAACCTCGGAATTGATCAATGAGTCAATTTTCTCGACGAGCAGATACGTGCTTGTTCTTACACTATTTACTCACCCATGACAGCTGACGCTTCTGCGGTTTCACTTTTTTCAGAGTTTGGAAAGGTTAAATTGACACGCGATCAACTCAGCCAAACGCTATTATGACCCCGGAAAATAAAACTTAATACATAAGTTTCGATTCGCATAGTAAACAGTTTCTTTCAAACATTCAGGTTTTGTTTCTCATTCCTCATAAGTCTTTCAATAAACAGAATCTATCTACACAGAAGAGGGACGTCTAAAAATCAGCCTGCGGCATAGTGTATTTCAGATATAGTGCAGATTGTAAATTGCAAGTCAATCTGACCTTCCCAGGTTCTGAAGAAGACGAAAATACCGAAATGTCAACTATTTCGAATAAATAGTTTAATAATAACTTCGAAATTCCTATTCAAAAACCCTGGTGAGACCAATACCGACAAGTGTTACCGCCCTGGAAGAAGTAGCAATGATCCCAACTTCGCTTAAGTTAACAATGATAGGAAACTATAACCAGCGATGAACTGGAAACATGTTGACACTTGACTTGATCACCTCGTGATTGTAGAGAAAAACACTGGCCTAACCAAAAGAAGGTACCTATACCGAGACAGGGAAAGGACTGGTAGAAGAGTGATCAGTGATGCAATCCATCAGAAAGCAAGGTGTTAGTTCAAACCCCTCCCGAACGCTCTTCTCCGATCCATGTAAGAACGCCTTAGCTTAGCTATTTCAAAGATTACAAGGAGAATAGACCTGCTCAGCATTCAATGACATTCGTCATAAAGACGGAAATCCTCAAGCGGCAACCGAACCAAGAGGAAAAAGTTCGAAGACCTTTGTGGACGCTGAATGCGAGAAAAGCGAGTGGAATGCAAGAACAGCTGGAATCTGCACAATAGATGTGACGACAGATGATTTAACAAATGTGGTAATAAACAGAGGATAATAAGTAGTGACTCATCTATGATAGTTAATTTTGACTCCCGCTGTTACTACAGTTTTCGTCAGCACTGAAACAATAGTTAAAGAATAACAAGGATAAAGCGTTTGGCGTTGATCATTCCCTTAGCAATGCACATGCACTCCACATCATAACCAACGTAGAGGTGACTAAATGCATATTTGACTACCACTCAATTTGCGCGGGTGCCAATATATCACGTGGGCGCTTTCATCCTCCCATAAAAATTATTTTGTCGACCTCAGAAGAATTGAAGGCTTGGTTGTTCAGCAACGCAGGATTGAACAAATTACCATGTATGTATTGCAGTGTACTTCAAACCACTGCACTACATCGGCCATAGGAAAACAGCAAGATTAATTTTAGAGTGTGATGTGATACCCAAATTAAATGCATAAGTATTAAGAACGTAGACCAAACAAGCCAGTAGTTAAGTAAATATTCTCAGGACACTAAGACATCCCAAATTAACTGATTTAGACAACCTGGCCACCCATTCTACAGTTTACCTCCTCTGACCGTCACAACAGAGTTTATGTCAAAATCAAAGTGCATCTATTTTTAAAAAACAAGTGGGCCTCAAAGTGACCAAAGTGGACAAAGATTTTGCGAACTTTTGATCAGTTTTCAAAAACTCCCTTCTTAGTTAAATGAACGCCCTAACAGATGTAAAAACTTGATATCCGTTCACACCAGCAACCTACACTAATCCACTTGCTATCGCACTATCATTAAAAGCTTGATTTTTCATGGATGCACGGCAAAACTGATACCACCACTGATTCGTAATGGAATCTGGTCCTTAAAGACCATTCTTGGCACAGAAGTGTTCAAGGGATGAGCATTCGTCCCGTCCTTAACTTCCTGTTGGTCATCTACATGGTGCACAAGGTCAGAGAATATGGCAGTTCATGAACTTCATTATACTGTGCAAAGCAATATTTGATGTGCTCCTATGAACTAAGCAAAACTGATAACGATGAAATATAGCGAAATAGAGGATAGCCATACATGCAATAAACCGGTAAACATTTGTCCAAGTTTATGAAATATACGTTCGTACAGTGCATTTTCCAAACCATCACCGAAGCTACTAGCAGACTTGATTAACTGTATTCCTTCTAATCACCAAGTAGATCTAGCGGGAATCATGAAGTCTGAAATGGTTACGGTCTAGTCAGAGCTGCTCAGTAGATTCAAGTTGGCGAAGCAAGAGAAAGAGTGTTACTATTTTGCCTTGATTCCCCTTATTTTATTGCTTTTCGTGAGACGGTAACGATCGGTAATTCGTCATACTCTGCATTTACACTTAGTCGACCTTTAGCGTTGAAATGACGAACTCCTTAGCATCAGAAAAGCCGCTGAGGACGAACCATTCTACATTCCTACTTGACATGCACCAAAAAAAAAACCCATGACTACCTTTCAAAGGGCTCACGTGATATCCATTGCGCATGTTTCCCCTTCTTCTCAGCCAGTTTTCCACCCTAAAGCTGGTGTCAGCAATCACCCATCAACGGGAATGTCCTATTACTCTACTATTCTCGTCCTACATCCAAAAAACATAGACTAAAGACTCACATATTGTCGCCACGTATAATATATAAGCCAAGCGGAATCTGCTCAACACCTTGTGTTTCGCAGTACACACGTTCATGAGAATCTTCAAGCACCACGTTCACCAGCTGATCAAATCCCTGAATTTAAAGGAAAAAACTGATTGCAAAGGAACTGTACCAATCGTAAAATCGCTTAACCCGTATTTCATTTACCTTACTCTGTCAGCAATATGCAAGTGTCTCGACCATAAGCTTACTTACTTGGATAGTTGAATGACCCGTCTTCACTAGTTGTGCGGCATAATCTCCATTTTTTTCAGAGTTTTGCTTGTTTAGCCATTGTATTTTTCTGGAGTACCGAGATCAACCGGACTAAAGCCTGCCCCAGGTCGTCACCACCACAGACAGCCGCCGCCCTTGTAGATCCGAGAGAGATTTGCCAACATGCGACTAGTTTGATATCAGCACGGTGATGGATCCTGGTATTGGTTTACTCTCAGCTAGGCTTCCTGATGGAAACGCTGGACTCTTTATCAGTTTGGGAGACCCTGTTAGGAGGATGAATCTCTCCCACTGTATATCGTAGTCCGGCACCTAAGAACACCTCACAGCCACGATGAGGCCGTAACCGTTGTGAGGCTGGATTATCTGCATACAACCAAAATACGAAACTACTCTCTCAAGGCTATCCACTAACCTTCATCATGCCAATGATATTCCTGCCATCTCCTGTGACAACTGATATAACACGGTTCATAAACGTATCCAATGTCGATGTCATCTGATCCTAATGCTAAATATAAGCATATTTATAACAATACCGTCCACCTCAATGTCCACAATAACTTCCTTAAGTCAGACTAGTTAATCGTATCAAAAATCAATTACTTTCGCTTCCATAAGACACGTTTGTTCATATACCATTTATCATCTATGACAGTAGAAAGGCTTTCAACCACGTCGGAGTTACTGCCCTACTACAACCCTACTCCAATAGAACTGCCTTGAGGAAACATCGCAGAGTTTACACAACCCTGAAAGGTGCGGAAGCTCTTAACAATGTTACCGTAATCAACAGAATATATCTGTCACCTTTTAACCAAATGCTTTATACCTTATCCCTCACTGTTTAACGCAAAACCTTCAAATGTAACCCATCTGCATGCAAAACAGAGTTCCTTCTTTTTCAATCTCAAAGTCCAAACATAACCCCCACCCAGGTCCCAACACTTTTGATACCACACTCTAAGAACCAATATGCGAGAAACTACACTTACCACCTTAAACAACACTTGTTTTGACACAACAACGTAGTGGGGATGGAATGAAGCCTATGGAGCGAATCAATAACACGAAAGCCCTCCAAAGGTTTATTGATCTTATCATCAACAGTGTCAGTTCATAAACTTAACGATAATGAAGCGGCTTACATGGACGCCACGTTTAGCCGCGAACAGTTATGAAGTAACACTGAAGACGACTTAATGTAACAAGCGGCAAACGACAACAGTGAGATAATGTGCCTGACCACCAGGTACAACGGATAACAGTTCATAACAATCGCCACGATCACATACGATCCAATGCGAGGCATCGTCGTATCGTGCGTGGATGGGGCAGTCATTACAAACAGAGTAAGGAACAATCGCCGGCGTGGCTAGATCGCAATAACAAAACGGAGTCTGTGAAGCGAAGAGTGGAAAGGTAGCGACGGCAGTACTTAGCGTCCTCCATTGGGAAACACTGAAGGAACAAAACAATACGGGAGACTTACAAGCAAAAATCACGAGTGGGTAGTGGAGTAGAAACAATTTAGTCATTTCGCTGACATAAGAGCATAGAGAGATGTTAAATAAACACCACACTACCAACGAAAAACGGATCCAAGGTGGTATCATAGAAGGATCGCAGAAAATACAATTAGGTTACCGTGGAGCTTGGTGCGATATGCAGTTATGTACACGGGTATTTGAAACGTGCAGCATAGACAATGTGGGCAATGACCAATTTTTACGCTACGGAAACCTTAGAACAAGATTATTTGCTTTGCATTCACATTCACGACACTGAGAAACAGATTTAAGTAAGACTTTGGAGTTGACTCTGAAGACAGGTTGAATGATTAGTCATTTGCCAATAGAGAATACAAACCATGCGCCGAATTTAGAGGACTAATTTTTAGAGCTTTTTTTTACAAGACTTTATGGGGATGCACATCGTCCTTCCTCAGTACTGCTGCTGCTGGGCTAGTTGGTATCGTTGTCCAGGCCCATGCGCATTGCCATTCTGGCGAGTACCCTGCTGGAAGGAGTCGTATGCCGCTCCTGGAAGATTGCACTTCACGAAGTTCAATGTACATATGTAAGTTAAGAAAATACGAGACACTGAATGCATCTACTTCAGATAGCAAGCCTAAATTTCAAATGAGAGAGAAATCTAAGCCTCAGTGACGAATGAGGAAAACACAACATTCAACTGCATCTAACTCACCGCCTGCACCGTAAGCATTCCCGTAAGCAGCAGATCCGTTCTGTTGACCATAAAAAGAATTGGCAGCACCATACCAGTCTCCCCAACCAGCAGCACCTGCACCATACGGCATTCCCATTTGTCCCCATGCTCCGTACCACGCAGCTCCGTTGACACCACCTCGTCCACCATACGGTCTCATTCCATTTCCCCGACCACCCATAGCAGCAAATCGCTTTCCTTGAGGTACTGCTTTCTTTACGTCACACTCACGGCTACCAAAAGTCTGCTTTGCTTGTGCAGAAGCTTTATCGGCTGCCTCTTCTTCCTCGAATACGATAAAAGCGAAATTCCTACGCATCTTCGTCTGTTTATCGAAGGGCCATTCAATGTCCTCCACCTTGCCAAACTGCTCAAAATGCGTACGAAGTTCCCCTTCATTGTAGTCTGATGGCAGCCCGCCCACAAAGACCTTCTTGTTCTCTCTAGATTTGGCGGGCTTCACCTCGACCTATAAGACTGGATTAACACTATAAGCCGTGCAACCAATGAATAAAAAGTTCGCAATGACATAGGAAGTCAAGCTAACCTGCTTGTTTTTGATGGTCTGCTCACGCGTAGCAAGCGCTGCCTTGCATCCTTCCCCAGTCGTGAACTCGACAAACGCAAAGCCTCTCGAGCGGCCAGTGATACGATCGAATTTCACCTGCGCTTGGGCGACTTCACCAAATTGTTGAAAATGAGTCGTAAGGTCTTCATTGAGCACATCATATGCGATTCCTCCGACAAAAATTTTCCTAAAGGGCTAACGGTATAAGAGGCTCAATATCAAACACTAGAAGAACCAAATAACAAAAATCCTCCTAACGGTTTAACGGTTTGCAGCCTCATCGTGGCTGGTAGGTGTTCCTGGGTGTCTGGCTGCGATGTACAGCGACTGAATTCGTCACCCACCTCAGCAGGGTATCCCAAGCTGAAAGGGAGATCGGCGTTTCCATTGGGAATCCCAGCTAGGAGTAAACCAATGCTAGGATCCACCACCGTTCTGTTATCAAACTAGTCACATGGTGGTAATTCTCCCTCTGATTTACAGAGGTGGCGACTATCTGTGTTGGTGGACTTTGGCTAGGTCGACCTCGGAACTTTCGGGAACCACAGTAGCAAAACCAGCAAAACTCCGAAAAAATGGGAACTTTGCTCGGGTCCGCACAACTAGTGAAGACGGGCCATTCAAGTAGTCAAATATATAACACAAACCGATCTTCGTTCCCCTTGTTGAAGTGGCCATTTTCCTTGACAGTCTCATCAGTGTGCTGGTTTACTTTATTATCATGACCATCCATAATTGTACTGCAACAGGTTGAATGAACAACTGGGAAAAGTGGAATGAAAGGACAAGAACCCACCTCTATGAAAATTGGTTGAGTTGAATACAGAACAGGAGTTACAAAAAGGGAGAATACGAACAATCAGAGAAATAAAAAGTCTTGAGACTATCTAGAAAATACCCTAAAAACTCACGAGGAGCAAAATGAAAACGAATGTAAGCAGTGAGAAAACACTTGAACAAACTCAGAGCATTCAACATGACAATCACGAAGTAATAAAATCTCATCAATCAATACTGCTGTATAACAACGAATCGAGCTAAAACTTTCTCTCGATTCTTCCGGAATGTCCCAAAAACTTGGAAAACGGCACTTCAAAAAAGAGACAAGGAAAATACCGACATTTTCGACTGCGAATGAGCAAAGTTTGCGAAAGGCATTCTTTGAAAGAGGAAAGAACAACCCCACAAACGTCCCAAGATGAAGAAACCCTTTTAAACAAAATTCAAAAATCAGTTTTACGATTAACAATGATCTCAAATTACTGTATTGCGCGGCGTCACTGCTTCCTCCTTGCAGGACCTACCAGAATCACGGCGGTGCAGAACACCGCATCCTTTAAACAACGGTCTGCTGGGTGGCGATGCTACGCGCTTTCGGGTTGTGGTGTTTCTTTTGCATTTTCTTATAACAACTTCAGCACAAAGAATGATCTGGTCTGGGGATATAGTGGCTTGGCGATGTGTAACAGATTAACTCTATGTAAAGTAATGAAATATTTGTTGGAGCAGGTGTGAGGGAAAAACTGAAACGCTAAAAAGCAACACATTCCACCAAAGAACTTAGCGACGCTGGAAAACCACCTCTTAAACATTAACTGAAGCTACAGAAACAGATATGGGTAGAGGACACGAAGGTCACGACGATCCGCAACTGCGTCCCTTTCCACCGTGCTGGTTGCCTCACTCTGGCCACAGCACTCACGAGTTGCGAAACACCCAGAACGTTCCAGTGCCCCATGTTGTTACCGAAACGTGCCCACAGCTTTTCTAGTTCCACAAATTCATTCACCGACACTGCGGTATGTTTTCCGATAGCTGACTCTCAAAAGCGTCCGTTAAGATGGCACACTTTGTGTGTATAGGCGAGTAATGACTTCCTGTGGTGGTGACGACCTGGGGCAGACTTAGGCTAGGCTGACGTCGGGATTCCAGGGAACGACAGCGGCTAAACCAGCAAATCTCCGAAAATATGGAGATTATGCTGAGGATCGCATAACCAGTGACGACGAGCCACCCAAGCATCCAGGTATTCAAGTATACAGGAAACTGATGTCCTAACGGTTTTCGGTTGAATATGCAGTACTGTTAGTTATTGTAGGGGTCGTGTGGCGCAGTGGTCGGAGGCACCCTGTAACACACACAGGTGATCGGTCCCGGCGCCGACGGCCCACCAAACCTTTCATCCATCCCACCGGGGTTGGCAAATTGCTACCACACCTATCTGGGAGGATGGCAGCACTGGCTTGATACATCGGTAGGCTACCACGAGTCATTGTAAAGGCCAGATATGCATTGAATCACCTCCAACGATACTTCATGAAGTCGAATGCATGGCGCATCCCTCAGGGATTGATCAACGCCGACAACTTTATCCTTTATGCTTCATTAGTTATTGTTGTTACTATTTTTATTAGTATTACATGACCAGACAGCACCTCTATCACACTGCAAGAATCCCAGTACTTCTTCTCTTCGATTCATTTCCTCCGGTCTACCACACACGGAATTTTTGTGCATGGCTTCGCATGCTGCTTGAGAATTTTTTCCTCTTTGTGGCGAATGTCGTTAAATAATAGTCAAATTGATTCTCTGTGGTACTCCTGAGATAGCCCTGTTTCCACATGAACTGGAGGAAGTGGGCCCGTCCCAAACAAGTCTAGTAGCAATTTCCCGACGCCAGAGGAACGATAGGCTTGGTGGAGCAAGTGCGGGCTCGAACCAAGGCGCTGGGTAAGTTGTGCCGTTCGTGCAGTGAACGAGATCACCACTTCTACTCGCCCTATATGCAGCATTACATACTTTGCAACAATACTTTTACAGTCTTTCGTCTCAGATTACTTTCTACAACTCGAGATTGCAGATCCATATGCGAATCCCTCAAGAGGTCTTTGAAAAAATGATAAAGCTCTCGGCGTTGATCAATCCTTGAGAGACGTGTCATGCATTCGACTTCTTCAAACATCGTAATAGATGACTGAATGCATATTTCGCCCATGCAATGGTGTCGTACCGATGTGTCGAGTCAGTGCTGCTATCCTCCTAGGCAGATGTGGCACAAATTTACCGACCCGTGAGGGGTGGAAGTCTGGTGAGTTCGGAGCGCAGAATCGAGCCCATGTGTATTGCAGTGTGCCTCTAACCACTGAGCTCATAAAAACAAGAAAGAAGAGCAATTAGAAGTGGAAGATTAATAATTATCGTGTCTTTGAGAGGAATACCACAAAGAAAAGTTGATTCTCACACTAACTCCAGTGTTAGGTCCTCTCTTTTACTGTCCTGTGGTCCCTAACCTTATTCGCACTTCATTTCACTTTTATCTTAGATTAGACGAAAAGTCTGACCTGAGAGCATTTGCTTAATATATTGCTGGAAATCTCATAGTGACTCATAACAGTGGTCATGAGAAACTGTAAAAAGTAAAATACCATCGACTCGTATCAATCAGGCTCTGACGAAGACGAAGACATTGAAACATCAGCCGAATAAATGTTTTATACCAACCTTGAGGAGCGCATGTATCGCAGTGGTCGATCCCCGCGCCCCAGGCTCATCAACCCTTCATCCGTCCGGGTTCGGTAAATTAGTATCAGACTTGTCTTCTGGGAGGATAGCAGCACTAGCTCGATGCATCGATAGGCCACTACGAGCCATTGTAAAGGCCAGATACGCTTTCAATATCCTCCAAACGATGCTTAATGAAGTCGAGTGCATGGCGCATCTCTCAAGGGTTGATCAACGCCAACAGCTTTATTCTTTTATTTCTACACCAACCTCTTGTCAGCTCATTAACCAATGAAAGTTTATTATTTACAATGAGGTTAAATAAAAATCGGCTTGTAGAGATGTATTACTACTCTAAGTGCCAGCTAGAATATTAGCGACTACTACAGAAAGCATTGTTCGACAACAAGTAGATCGTATTGGATGGCGAGAATCGTTCAACGTCCATCCTGTGTAAGAGAGCACCGTAGAGTGAAATTCTCTTTTAGATCGCTGCTCTCTCCACTGAATTCGAGTCTGTGCGACAGCGAACACCACATCGCTGGGAAGGCCACCTGTGGATCGTCGACTCTGATTAATCGAGCCCTGAGGAAGAAGAAAATCTTCAAATACAAAGTTGTGTGAAATACTGTAAAATATGGAGAGGAAAATGGGCCGCATTATTAAGAATAAAACAGAAATGCTGGCATACACTTCAGGAGAACGAAAACGCCTTAAATGGTGACCGCACAGAATATTTGCTGATGTACTCGCTGCTCGTGCAAACCAGCTGCACTCGCAGTTAGAAGCGATTTTCGGGTCAAGAAATATTGGATTCCGCGCGACGGTCTAATCAAGTCCGCAATTTCTTCGGGTTTGGAAAGCTGGTACTAGACAAAAAAAAAACACTGACTTCAAACATTGAAAGGCTACGCATGTAATTGGGAGAGCGAAATATGCATTCTATCGAGCGTACAATGATGAAAAACCAGTGAACTGGAAACGTATTGGGCCGTAAATGATTTGTAATTGAAAACCACCGAACTGTATAGGAATCCAAATGAAGTGGATGTTGTTTAAATCTCTTTAAACTTAAAAAATCCGAGATGGCCACTGTGCGCTTTGAAATCGGCGCACACCGTCCAACAAAGCATGTCGGTTTGGTACGAATATGTTGACCACGCAAAGCTGACGGGCTTGGCGATCACGGTGCGGCATCGAACCAGCATGGTTCTTGTGAAGAGCGGCATCAGTACGGCGCTTTCTTTTTTATATTGCAGTTCTGTGTCCTACATATTCTTCCGTGCTTTGTGCAACACATCCGTCACTTGCGTGCAACTGAAAAACTCGTAAACCATCCCGCAGCGACGCTTTTTGTATATATAGAATATTCCTCGTGAAATATTTATTCTCCATCTTTCATTGTAACATCTCTTGTACTAATCGTGTATATGTGTTCGTTATTCCTACTGTGTTGGATTGCATCCCAAATTGTCACAATGCCGGCGTGCCTGAACTACATTCATACTTCTTTGCCATACATAGGGTACGCCAGCAGGCATGCTATCCCGCACGGTTCATTGCCTGGAGACTTGACCCAGCGACGCTTGCCATACCCTTTCGTCCTTTCTCATCACCTTTTTTCCCGCTCGATCTCCTCTTTCACTATTCATTCGATTTGCTCAGGTTAGAATATTGTTAACTAAAGTCTCATGCTCTTGGCTCACAAACCTCAGCTTATCATAGCCATGCATCTTTTAGCTAAGTACCACATTGTCAATGTGGAACTCTGTCTCATCTTAGTGGAACATCAATTATATTGTATTATTACCTGTTGAACCTCGTGAAATAATAATAACTTGCATACAAGCCATTAAGTCAGCTCATCATTCACTTTACTCAATTGTCATCAATCTTACATCTCGCTGCTAACGTTTGCATATCTACTGCATCACTACTCATGCATAGCGACCGAAACTCTTTGGACTAGTACAACTTTGGTATTAACCTATTATTCTCATGTTGTTAAATTGAATAATTGAATCCACTCATCATTTTGTCACATTACATCCTTAGAACACCAAATGTATTAGATTACTCTCTCTTAGGCTTTGTGAGGTCTTAATCTCCTAGCCACTCGCTTCACTACCATATACTCTTCGCGCATCATTCGTTTCTCTCATTTCATTTTAACTATCCCTCATGTAACCCTTGTATATTGGTCACAGTGTATTTATACCATGTGTTCGTATTGTGCATTTTGATAAAGGTCTATTTACCCAAGCTTGAGGTTGCTTCACTACAAACGGATGCAAATCCCACATGGCAATTACGAAAAGACAAGCATTCAAATCTGTTGACTAACCGATACGTGAAATATAAGGAAGGAAAGGGTTACTGATTACTGTTCAAAAATCGAGTTTTAGAGATCCATTTCAGCGGAAGACAAATTAAGTATCATATGCACAAAACTGGCACACTTTAGAGGATCTTTACGGTTGGTATTCATGACTCGATTATGGACGAAACCAACAGAAAAATACAAAAGAATGAAAAGAAATGAATTAGATAATAGGTCCGATTGGAACAAGTCACCTAAGATAACGTGACATTAGATAGGACGGTAGATCGTGTCGGATCAGATCAGACCGGTTCAGATGGGACCAGGCTATACACCAGATCAAATCGTCTCGAATCATAGATCAAATCACGGCTCATATCAGATCGCAGATCACATCAGAAATCACTAGAATTCACTCTAGAATCACTATACTCCCGAATTGAAGAGTTACTGGAATTGGCGTTCTGTCTATGGCAAAACTCCCACTGGACCCAAGGTACGACAAGAGACATTTTCGAAGATCTGTTGACTAATTTCCATTTGGCCTACACGAGAAGGTGTGATGGACAAGAATGAAATCATAAACGAGTCCGTGAGCATATTCCAGATGGCAAGAAGACTATTAGATACTATGTACACTTTTGGTTATTTATAGATTACGGGTGTCTTCTCTACACATCCTTTAGGTGCACTGTTACTCCACTTTGTCACTCAGCGGGTTATGATGACGAAATGAGTGGAATGGAGTGCGCGTATAAGAACTGATCCTACATAGAGGTGTAGGTTATAAAACATGCTTTATGCCACTGCAATAAGGCTACCTAATCTGGCATTTGTTTCTTCAGAATAAAGGACTCCTTATGGTCGATTGCCATCCAGTTTTTGTTACTTGTGTTCACAGTCAAGACTATCCTGTAGCAGTGGAAATAGTGTTGATTGGCGAACAGCAAAGCAATATATTCAGTGCCGAATTTTGTTTATCCTCTAAACAGTTTTCATTGGTAAGCTAACGTGAAGTTGCTGTCATATGAATGTGTACTGTGGACAGTGGCAAGAGCAGTCCTGTATAAAATGGCAATGCTAGACGAGGCCACTGCATTCATTTGGCGCTGCGCTCCACTCGATTTAACCCGAAGGGCTTCGAGCGACCTGTTTAGATTATTTCAGTAATTTTAATTAATAGTGCTAATACAATATTCTAATCGGTAAGTGTAAATTTCTTAAAGAGGTGTATGTTTAGAATGCAAAGATATTAGTTGTGCACGTATTTAACTGCGAAATAAATCTTTTGAACATTTTTTTACAAAATCAGTAGAGTACCGTGAAAATGAGGGCCAAAAACAGACATACAGTGTTTCCAGGTATGAGTACTATTGCAGCACAATAATCAAGAACACTACATGGGCTCGTGTCAGAACTTCAGTGCCCAATTATAGCGAAATTAGTACCCTCCTCCTCCTCCTCTTCCTCCTCCTTCTCCTCAAGAAAAGCTTCTCCGTGAGACAAAGAAACTCGTTTGAAAGATATTTTTTTGGAAGTTCTAATGTGTGAGAAAAGGGTTCTTTGGTATGTTCTGCATGAAGATCACAAACCGAATAACATTTTCATTGCAATGCACATTCTTGTGAATTGTTTTCATAGATGGCATAGAATTTTGTTAAGGAAAGGTTTACAGTTCAATCATTGATTGCGCTGGGTAATGTTTTCAATCAACAAATGAGCGGCCACGCGTGTCATTATTGTATTAAATAATACTTGCTTGCCTTTCCTAGAAACGTTCCTAGTAGTTCGGTGGTCACATTAATACCGTATCATTACAAAAATTGGTTGCATCTATGTTAAGTAAATATATAGGATTCATAGTGGGGGAGGGGAGTGGTGGCATGTGGAACTACGGTTGGAGGTGACCTGAAATGCATTGGTTCGATGGGGTTGGTTTGATTTGCTGCCGTGGTCCACTACGCGTCTATCTCTTCCGGCGGCAAATTGCTGCGAGACATGTTTGGGATAATAGAAATACTGAAATGATACATCAGTAGGCCACTGTAAGTAATTGTAGGTGTCAGATATGTTGTCATTACCTCTACGAAAAAATGTCGAAAAGATAGGATATTCCTCAGTGATGGAACAACGCCGTACGATTTATTCTACTTTGTAGGGTTAAAGTCGGTACCATTGGTTAACAGACATTCTAAGAATATGTCGCGCAAATTGCAAACAGTTAGCCATGGTTTTCTTCGTATTTTTGTTGAGCAAACGCGAGGTGTTATTATTCTTTGTTCACGATTAAGCTGACGTTTCGGCGGATTTCGCCTTCTTCAGAGCCGCTTTCTATGAGGTTTCCACTAAGTATGTCACGTAGAGACCAACCGCACAGAAATCACGTGGAAGTATAATGATTTATACATGATTATATACATTTATACATGATACATTACATTACATTACATACATACATTTATACATTTTCATTTATACATGATTTTTTCTATGACATTATACTTCCATGTGATTTCTGTGCGGTTGGTCTCTACGTGACATACTTAGTGGAAACCTCATAGAAAGCGGCTCTGAAGAAGGCGAAATCCGCCGAAACGTCAGCTTAATCGTGAACAAAGAATAATAACACCTCGCGTTTGCTCAACAAAAATACGAAGAAAATCACTTGATCAATGCCGAGGTTAATAGAAAGTCGGTCGTGGCAGTTAGCCATGGTTTTTTGCTGGAATAATAACTTAGGGAATTGTTAAATAATTATGCTGTGCTTCTATTTCACGATTGAATAGCACTGAATTGCTTATCTCAGTTGTGGGCTACAATGTTTGTAGCTCTCATAATTAATTTCAGTAATAGATTTGCTTTCAATGGAAGCCTTTAGAATTTCCAGTCTATTAGCTATTTCACACGATATCTAGCGCAAACCTATTAAAGGCTACGGTGTAATTCATTTATTTGCAATAGGTGAAAATTTTAAGCTGGGGAAACGCAAACGTAACTTATTTCATAAAAAATATTCACTGGCTCCCTTTGCTTCCATGATGTTCGCCAATTATCAAGAAAACACTTATTAACCACCGCAAAGTGTAATCACGGTTGGATCTGCCCTGGGGTCCAGGTTATGCAAAAATCTCAGGAACACTTATTAATTGTTCTCTAGAAAATCACCTAAGAACCGAACTTTCTAGAACCCTCACCTTCTTCGATTTTTCCTAAATTGCTCTACTCAAGGATTTTCACTCGATTCTCCACTTTCAATGCAGCTTAACGTATTGGTTTTGGTCGTGTTGTTGACAATGTAATCCAATGTCGTGTCTTTTATGAAGTGACTTCAGTGGAGGGACATTAGCAAGTGTGGAGACTGAGAAAACACGGGGCAGGTACGCTAGTGGAAATTTCCCATGGATATGATTGGTATTAGACTGAGTCTAATAACGAATAGTCTCAGTGTCACTTATGGCTTTCAACATATCCACACTACTTGCTGCTGTTCTTGACGAGACAACCACTGTTCGACATCATGATGATCAAGCGCCCATTAAGAAGGAAGATGGAAGCGATACGAAACCAGATCGCCAGGAGTGGGTTCAGTCCGGTAAAATACAGCACGGTTAGTGGTGGGAGGCCACCGAGATTTCTTTTTGATTCAAGTTCTGCGTGACGAACACATCTTGCGTAATACTAATGGACAGAGAAAAGAGTAGCGTTAATAAGACCAAAATTTGTGAATATATTAGAACATGGCGAATAAGACATTCTTTGGGATAGCCGGGATAGAAGAATTTTACATGGTAAAACATTTTTGTAAAACCAAGCAAACTTTTTGTTCAAACTTTTTGTTAGCGCGGTTAAAATATCATATAAAGTTCCATGGAAATACTGTTATGTTGTGGTGTATCAAGGACGTCGCCCTTAACTTCACGGTTGTCGGAATTTGCACTGTGGGAGGAAGTGCACAGGAATGAAAAAGCCATCAAAAACCATCGATGAATAAATACTTGGCTAATAAGCAGATTCATAAATCAGTGATTGAACTGCTAAAATGGTGCAGAAATATTACTTTCTTCTAAAACTCTGTCCCAAGTTATGACTGCTTAAAAAAATTGTTGTGGGAAAAGTGGAAAAAATGGAGCATTCTGTGCTAGGTGCAGAACATATCAAATTTAGCTCGATTTAACTCTGTATACTTCACTGATGCGAAAAGGAATGATCGAGAGGACCATCCTACATATTACTGAAGGAAGTAGCTATTTCTCGAGTGAAGCATTTTTGACTGTTCAATTGTTTCTAATTTACTCTACCAGATCGTTTTGGAAGACTTTGAAAGTGTTGCAATCAGTAGTAACCTTTACTCCTGGTGTGCCCAGAAAAACTTCGGGACCACCAATTTGTTTTCGATATCGGCATGTGTTCTTGTACTTAGTAAGTTCACCTTGGCGGTCAACATCTACGATAGCTCACTAATGGCTGTTTCGTACTCACCGCTTCCCTCATTTCCAGCACTTGGCACGACTTCTAATTGCTCTATGAGTATATCTAAGGAATTCTGTGTCTCTCATTAGTAGCGTAAAAATTCTGCCACATTCTTAATGTGCCCAAGTTGTTGTAATGAAACAGAAGCCTCTCTTCGTTATTAGGTTCTAATACTTTGAAGAAGTAGTTACTTTAAACAAAGGGTATAAGAATTTAGCAGTGGTAATAGCTTTTAGTCTTTTCTGCTTGTTCGGTTAGTGAGAATATTCCTTCTTTTTGCAGATTTGTTCGAAGCTACGTTATCCCAATGGAATAATCTAACATCGAATCACCTAACAATGTATGCTATCGCTCACGACATCAAGGATCCTTCTTTGGTTGAGCTCCAGATGATGCTTGGTATGGGAGGTAGGTAGATGGGTCAAAATTTGATTTCTTCTCCCATTTTTAGCTCGTTTAAGGGAAAATCCTATACATCCCCTTTTCGGAATGCTCCTGAATAGGTGACAAACACCGCTAATTGATATACGAATTTATTGCAGCCCGTAAACATGACTACAAGAGAGCGCGTAAGGCTGCAAGCGATCGTAAGCCACGTCAGGCGTACACCGCTCTTCAATTGGAGAAGCTGGAAAGGGAATTTCAGGTATCAAATAAAGTGTATGGGTAGCATTTCTTTGCTAATATGGCGAATTACAACCCTTTTTGCATTCACATGTGAATATAAAGTCAATTCTTGTTCCATGCTGCCCCTAAAGCCTTTCCTTTGCTGAGCACTCATGCGCATTCTAGTAACTATTATCTGATCTATAAATGGCAGAAGAGGAAATTTCAGACGAGTTGGAACACAGAGTTTATGTTCTTGATCCTTCTTGTTATTTCGAATACTTCGATATTTGATGGATCTCATTGTATCAAAGTCGAGGCGAGGAAGGTTCGACATTGCTTTGGAGATTTCGGGTGGTAGTAGTCCCCAACAACGTTGTCCGAAGCGATTATGACAAATACATATCGCCCCTTTCTTTTAAAGAAATACAATGGTCAGAAATATTGAGTTTGTTACTAAACAGTCTCATCACCGAATTGCGCACTTACCAGACCTCGCAGAAGTTTATGGCGCTGTGGAAGCAGTTACCGTCTCTCAGTTTTAACAGTGCATCACTGTCTACAGCCATTAAGGATTATTTGCTGAGTGAAAGGGCTGGCGTTCTCATAGTTATTTCCTATCGCAGATATCAATGAGCTTCAGTTTCTAATTTTCCCTCAGAAAGATTGCTTTTTTTTCTAAACTGAAGCTCGCAGAGGTAGTAAAGTGGAATTGGTGTCTCAGTAGATTCTCATGATGTTAATATATCGTTACATTATCTTCATAGAGTGTCGCGGATAAATCTTCCAATTCCCTAAAAATAACGCCTCAACTGAACTGAAATCTGGTAGCCTCACAGCGGATATCTAGCCGTCAGTTGCTGTAGGCGGCAGAATTCAACGCACAGTATAGAGGGCTTTGGATCTTGTTGGATGAGAAGTACTTTCCCAACCATCTTGAGATACTGCAGTAGAGAGAGGTTCGCTGTCGTGCCACAAAAGCTCTACCTGAAATGAAAAAAATCCGCACGTAGGCTTAGTCTTAAATGCAGAATTTATATACTGTAGGAAAAAGTCTAGCTTCAACGTCGAGGTTTTTTACAAGTAGTTGCAATCCTTCGTAACCAAATAGTTCTGATTTATCTTTATTTCTTTTCCAAAAGTGTTTAATTAGATAACAAATCACCCAACTTAACGAAAAAGTCGACCTATATACAACTGCTACTTGTTTCATCAACAGACAGCCGTCCGTGATGGTACTGGCATTTTCCTTGCATGGTAACGATTGCCAGTAGTGTTCTGTGGTACTCCACTAATAGTTTGCCGCGTGATAAGGCTAAGGCTGTCCCTTCAAGGGCATCCAACTACCTTGTATAGAAGGTTATATACCAGTAGGGTCTTCAAAGCATTGAAAGGGTTCCATGTCTTGGTCAGGAAAACTTAAGCCTATTTCACGTCAAAGCTTAGTGAGCTTCTCGTATATATCTCCCAGTCGAAAATCGTGATCTAAAAATCATCTCTGAATGCGAATTTAGGTGGTGAGCATGGACTGAAAATACATCGACTTGTCCTGCAGTTGGTAGTCCTCAATGAGACCCGTATTCTCCTCTAGTCAGTTCTTCTAATCGTATGACTTACCCATTCCTTTCCTTCCAATTTGTATTATTCTAGATTTTGGTGAACATTTATCGATTGAACTTCGCTGACCACTTTGCTTCATACGCACGGTTCAAGCTCTGTGTGGGAAGCGCGTAAAATTTTCCCTTGTAGATTAGGCTTCAACCCCATATATCGGCGAAAACGGTGATAGACCCTTAATTCAAACAATACAACGCTAATAACGTGGGCAATCATACCCTCATTCTTCTAGGGAAATCCTCATTTACATCGTTTTCCATGTTTTCCAAACGCTTTAAGTACATGTATTATATGGTCTTTGTAATCAAAGAACTTTCCTCTATCGCCCATGAACGTTTCTCTCAGTCCCGTTTTTCTCAATTGTTTAGCAACTTATGGAAACAATTTGGTCCAAGGTTTTCTTGTCATAAGTGGTTCTTCACCATGGTCTTCCACTACCTTCGTTATTCCACAAAAGTGAGTTTCGATGGAAAGCGTTTCTAATTTATGAATACAGATCGGGGTGCGGAATAAATGCAGAGATAAAAGTTGGAAGATCTTCATGGACAATGGATGGGAGGAAACGAATTGAATGTGAGAAGTGCTGGGACCCGCACAGTACACGAGAGGACGGAGGACGGGAGCAAATTTACCTCCGGCAACTCCGCTTTAACGAGTACATCTTGTCCAGATTACATTTTGCTCTAGGATATCAAATAGTCCTACGATTTCTAACTGAACATACTAAAATACCTTGTTATTTAAAAGACATCTCGGAACATTTGGAAAAACGTCTGTCTCTTCATTTTTAATTTTTTGAATCGGCAGGATTACTCCACATTGGGATTTATTTGTCGCATAACAATGACATGAGCCCTAATAATTCTCTACGCTTCCCCGCTATTCCACCAGTTATTTGTAAAAAATGTTGGTGATTTCAGAGCGACAAGTATCTTAGCGTGCAGAAAAGGATTCACCTGTCCAAAAGCCTCGACTTGACAGAGACGCAAGTCAAGACATGGTTCCAGAATCGGAGGTATCTATTACACTGAAATATAACAAAAAGAGGATTGAACTCTTAATTTGGGGTTTTCTCTGTTTGGTTATGGGATGCTTGGCTGGGTACATTGCAGTCAACTTGACTTTCCTAAGCTTTGAGGAAAGCGAAATCCGTCAAAACGTCAGCTTGTTTGCAAATAAAGAAATAAAATGACATCCCGAGTTTGCTCAACAAGAATATGAGGAATAGAAAGAAAGAATTTATATTGCCTATCTAGGCAGAATGATGTTCCTAGTGTCTGAAATAGAGCAATTTCATCTGACTCTCATGAGCCTCGCTCATATTTATCCCTTTATAAAAAATATATATCAACGGGAAACAAACAATTCCCACACAAAGACGAAATCGTAGATAACTGTAGTTGTATCTTTTTCACCGTTTCTGTAAAAGAATGGCCTGAAGCAAAAGCAGAGTTTATTTTAGAACGAAATGGAAGAAACAGGTGACGAGCTCAATCCGTGAGCTGTACCGCGATCGGCTCGCGCCGTCTTTCGCTGTGCTTCCAGCTGTCAATCCTGCCCTTACTTCGTCATCACTTCTATTTGACTCCACTGAGTATCTCTCTGAGCATTTACAAGAAAACGGAAGCAATTCTGGACTAAGAATTCGTCGTTTCTTTGAACAAAAGTGAAGAAAAATGCTGTGGAAACGGTGTATGGTATGTAAAATCGTTTTAATTCAAGTGATAGATCTGTTAAACAATTTCTATATTGGAACCGCTTCAGCGTTTTTCACTATTAATCACACTTTCTCGTAAGAACCAATGATAAGCTCAGAGGACACATTTTTGAAACGCCACTTGGACAAAATTAAGGAGCAAACATCAATCTATGCGTATCAGAGCACCACTAGATATTGTATACTTATAATACTACATTGCAGTTATATTACATGCTGATTGAGGGTGGACTTTCTCCTTTTTGCTATATGAAAAAACATAATTCTGTTTAATGTCTGTAATAAAAAACAATGTCGAGGAGCAAATGTTTCTTTTTTTCTTTCTCCAGAGATTTCAGCAGCAACACGAGCGGTGGTGATTCCGTATCTACCGCCTATTAGATTGATGTAGTCTGTTTAAGAAGTTTTCATCCATTTAGCATCATAGGCTATCTATAGCTTGTAATTGGATAAGATACTATGGTTTTTTAGACTCTTCTCGTGCTCTTTAGCAGGCCTATGTCCAAAGGGTGTCCTTCACAGATTAATCGACGCCGAAAGCTCTATCCTTTTATTAGCATAAGCGTATCGAGCACATGGTATCAAGACAGTTTATTAGGAAAAAGTGACAGTCAATAGCCGAAAGATACAGTATATTCACTACATTTATAACATTATTATCAGAAGACCAAGCACTAGCCAAGCAAAAAAAAGTCAACCCATATAGCTAGGATATGCGGGGAGGCTGAACCTAAGGTGTTCGCAGAACATGGATTTATCCTTGACTCGTCCTCAACGAGAATGAATATTTCCGTATGGTTAGGCTATGTGTGTCGGAATCGGGAAGTTAGTATGATGACATAGGTTCATAGCCTAACTGTTGAAAATGAGCATTTAGTGGAGTTTATAAGAATAAAGGATAAAGCTCTCAGCGTTTACCAATCCCTGAGATGCGCCATGCATTTGACATCATTAAGCATCGTTTGGAGGTGATTGAATGCATGTCTGACCTTCATAATGACTCGCGGTGGCCCACCTATGTACAGAACCAGTGCTGATCTCCTCTCAAGCAAGTCTGGTACCAATTTGCCGAACCCAAAGGGATGGAAAAGTTAATGGGCATGGGGCCCGGGGATCGATCCCATGTGTATTTTACTACGCCTCCGACCACCCACTCCGTCACACAAGCCGTCTGGAGTTTACGAGGGAAAAATGTGCTGAAGAAAATGAAGAGTACTCAGTTTAGAATCATGCTCGACTCGACGCTGTATGCTACGTAAGCAAGATGAAATTGTGGTAAACGCTATTGAACGTGTTGACGTAAGATGGCGTTAGAAGTACTTCGTATCACAGAACTTTGCTGGTCGCTTGTTCGACAGTCATAAGAAAGTTCACGTGATATGCGGCTTGAAGAGTACGAATATAATGGTTGAAACTATGAATTGGGTTTTTCTGGTGAGAAACGTACAGTGGTGTCTACAGCATCTCGCTGCCGCCGCTCTGCACCAATGACACACAAGGCGATTGAAAGTGACTCGCTATTTAGAAAACCCTGTGATTACATTGTAATAATTTTTCCAGACGTTTCATGTGTATTTCTTAATGTGTAGAAATTAAATCTATGTTCCTAAGACCGAATTTCTGTTAACCTCGGCATTGATTGATAATTCGATGTTTCTCTTCAATAAGCAGACACGAGGTTGTCATTATAGAATTTATTATGACATGAAATGACGATGACAGTCCTCGCC